CGGATGAGTTTTTATAACTTTATGAGATACCATGTAGCCTAGAAATTCTATTTCAGTTTGGAAAAACTTTGATTTTTCACATGCAATTTTCAGGTTAGCCTCTCGAAGAATAGCTATGATTCGCTCTGGGTCAATGAGATATTGATCAAGGCTTTCGGATAACACAATTATGTCGTCCATATAAACATAACATATTGTCCCCATGTGTGGACGTAGGATATCGTCCATAGCCCTTTGAAAACACGAGGAGGGTTTTTTAAGGCGAAATGCATACAAAGAAATTCGCATATACCGTTGTTGACGGAATAAACGGTTTTTTCAAATATTTTGACTTTTCTAAATGGATAGAATTATGCTGGTATTAGGGATGGGATATCTGCCAGGTATTGTTTGCTAATTTAGTTTTTTATATGACTAACCTGTGTTTGGGGGTGCCATCAGGATTTTGATCTTTTTTGAATACTACCCAGATAGGGGAATTGTAAGGACTATTGCTAGCCTTATTATATTGTCTTGCAGCATTTTAGATATTTAATATTTTAGAAAAGAATTTACTGAAAATAGATAGGGATATTGTCTACTCCATATGTATAAGATTTTTAGTTTCTGTTCTAATTTTAACCTGTACATCTGTACGGAAAGGTAAGCCAACATCTATTTTCAAGTGGGTTTTCCATTTTTTCTTTTTTATAATAGTTTTTGAAGTTTCATTACGATTTTCGTATTTTTGCTTTTATATAATTTAAAATATTCACACTTTTATTTGGTAGACTATCGATATTATATTTAAAATGTTTTAATTTTATTTAATGTTTTTTCGATGTCGGATACTTTTACGACGGCGTATTCAGCGGTTTTCCCAAACTGTTATTTTTATTTAAATGTTTTTACTTGTTAATTTCTTTTATTTTTCTTCTTCTGGATCAATAATATATATTTGTTCTTTTCCCAATAAGTATGACAAGATACCATTTATCTAATCCAGTGTTTTTCAATCTGTGGGCCTTACTCGGGGGGTCGCCAGCTGAAAGAAAAAGTCGAGGTTGTTACACAACAGAAACACAATTTTAATGAGAAAGATGTGCTTGTTTATTTTTCATTAGTTTATCAAATTGTGGTGTTATTTTTGAAACATTAATAATTAAATCATTTTCTAATTGCAGTCTATTTCTCTTTTTAGTTTTAATGTCTACCATTGAAGAAAATGTCGGTTCACACAAGTATGAAGTCGAATGGCACTAATAATTTAAGAGCTTCCCTTGCCAGCTCTGGATATTCGTGTTTTCTTTTCATCCAAAATACTTCAACACTTTGCGAATAAAATTTAATTTTAAGCACGCCATCAGTAGCTAATTCTAGAAGACATTCTTTCATTTTTGTGTTGACATCAGCCAGATCTATTGATTTGTCCAAAAAAGGTTTTAAAATCCATCTACTCCCATTGTCATCTTCAGAATGCAAGTCTGGAAAGTATGTCAAAAGTTTCTCTTGTAAATTATGCAAGCTTTGTATCATGCACGGAATATGAGCCGATGCTGCCAAACTTTGGTCTGATGCATTATCTTCATCAATCTTCTGAACACATTTCGTTCAAAAAAATCCAACGTTCAAAAAAATCCAACACATTTCGTTCAAAAAAATCAGCTTCTTTTTGATGCTTGGTTGTGAGATGCCGCATAAGCTTTGACGGTTTCATACTCTCACGTGATAAAACATCGCCGCAAATTACACATTGAGGTTTATTATTTATGACTGTGAGGATGCCGTTAACTTGTGTATTTATGTTATTAATATAACATAATATGATACGTGAGAATCATAATTATACTTTAATTTATGTCGTGTTTAGTTTGCCTTTTGTTACATTTGCTTGATTTTTTTAAATAAGGTTAGCAGGCAGATATTAGTTGAAGTTAATGTTTGGTCGTTTTTACAATGAATAGGGCTTATTTAGTTTGCTACGAAGTTTGTAACACATTTGATATGGATTGTTGTGAAAGAAAACGCTGCAATCTCCGAACAAATTGTTCAGTGCAGATACTATAACATATAGCTGCCAGACAAACTGACTCATCGAAATCGAGTTCTTTAATGAAATTTTTTTTATTTGACAAATTATCTTGACATATCAGATCGGACCAGTATAAAATATAGCTACCATACAAACTGATCGTCCAAGCCAATGCTACTATCTTTGACAAAGTGTACAGATGAAACCGCTATAGCATACATAAATTTGACTCCCTATACCTGCACAATTTTAAAATTCCCGTTATTTTTTTAATACACCTTGTATAGTGGTCTTTTAAAATCGGTATAAAAATATTCATAAATGATTTTTTCCTTATTAAGTAACCTTAATTCAACTAAAAACGTTTTTCTTTGGACACAAACTGTTGGCCGACATAATTTTATCTGACTAGATTACCGTTAATATCTATAATAATCTACTCACTTATCTCAATTGCCCTTACTGCCGTTGGAAATTTATAAAACAACTGTCTTCGACATTAATAAATTAACATTGTTTAATATTTTTTAAAAGAAAGTATTGTATTCTGTTATAAAGTCGTCTTGTTTTAAATATTGTATTTTCCATTTAATAGAAATAATGGAAGAATTTTTTTGGGATTTGGGAATTCATTTGCTAGGTGTATTCAGATGCATTGCTTTTAATTTACTGTTTTTTTTACACCTTTTTGTTTTTTTTTTACATTTTTTTCTCTTTGTAGTGTCTAACTCAGCTGTGATAATGTGATAAATTTCCCTATTGGCAAACAGATGTAACTGAATCAGAGTCGCACAAAGAGATTTCGAGGAGATTAGCTTCAAATCTCCTCGGCGACGAGATTAACAAGTGCCATTTTTCTATTGTGAAATCTTGCTAAATCTAGTGTAATAGTTTGATAATCTACTCAAAAGCCTAAATCTCGGGATTAAATGTCGGTCGGAACATTTTATTAGTTATACATAAAATTACTATTATTAATTTACCTGTGAAGGGCATTACATCTTTTGTGCAGCCGAAGTTAGGTTTATCCTGTTGTTCAGTATTTTTGGAAATTTTTTTGGTTTTTCTTTTCTTTCAGATTGTAGCGATATCACAACAGAGTTTAATTGACATTCTAAGATTACATTTTTATGCTCTTGCAACATGTCGCTACATAGCATAATAGTTTTGGTCACCTAACGGTTGTTTGTATCACCTGAAACTAGGAATAGGGTCATATATATGATCAAGATGAAGAAGCGTGTTGAAATCCGGGTGTTGAAATGTACGCCTATCTGTGCAGCTGTATAGATCGCATTGAAACTTGATATATGCCACGTTTACAAACGTCTTTAATCGAAAACTTATAAATTGCCATAACTAAGCCGCAAATTAAGATGCGAAACTGTAATTTGGTACAACCAATCGCAATAATGAGGGGCAACTGCGGTTTGACAATTTTTAAAAAGTGGGCATGGCCGAATACGAGGTTTAATGTATTATACTATATATTTCCCAAACCATTCAAGTTGTATCGCTTAAATTTGCATAGGACAAATCATTGCGATACCTCTTCCGACAGCGGGAAAATAGGTGCAATCGGATGATTACCACGCCCAGGCCCCATAAAGCGGTTTTGTTACAAATTACTAAAAGTGTGATAAATCAATAATTAAAGCGTCAGAAACATTAAATTTAACATCCAGGATGGCACCAGAGGGCTTTCTAGCAGCCGCTGTCAAAATAAGACGCTGGGCTTGGCCCTAATTAATATAAAACTTTGTACGAATAATGCCTTTTAGTAATGCCACCTCAGGTCTAAAAATAGTCACAATCGGACCATAACTATTCATGTTCCCAGACACCGGAAGTGTGGAGCCCAGAGCCTATGACTAACTTTTTACCAAAATAAAATCGGTCAATGTGTGAGATCTTTTTCTGATAATAGTACCTATGTCTGCACATCCAAAACGGTTAAGTCGGTTCAATATTCTTTAACCCCCATATTCCTAATTGAAAGATTTTCGAGCTTCCGGCTGACTTAGACCCCATATATAGGCCAATATGTGAGATATCTTAATTAAATTGAGTGAGCGTGTCTTTCTCCTAACGGTGCACCTCTGTGCCTAAAATAAATAAAATCAGATGAAAAACTGCCTTAGCGACCATATAACTAATATCAGGATTTTCAAACATAAGGTTGACTACAGTTCTCATATATTGTTGATTGTATGTGAAATGCTTTAATGAAACTCAAAGCGCATCTGTTTCTGTTAATAATATGTAGTAATGCCAAAAATAAGACATCTTAGCAAAAGTAACTAAACGTATAATATTGGATATATGTACTTTAGTTTGATGCCGAAACTATGTGAAATTATGTTATACTACATATAAGAATTTCCGTTATTCTAACAAATCTTATTATATTAATGGCTTAACATAATTGAGTTGGTGTAGACCTTGGTTTTTATCTCATATCATCAATTGCGATCTTCTGCTTGACGTTTTGCACATAAACTCTATACTTGTATATAAAATATAGCCTCTTCGGTTAAGTTAGTATCAGATATATCTCATTTGAGGATACTTTTAATATAATTTGCGCTGACGGGAATTAAAATATAAATATGAAACTAACTGACTCAATGACCTATGACACCTGAAGGTATTGGATACTTGTCAATAAATCTATTTATTCTTTACCGCACAGCCTTCATGAAACGAACTTCATTATATACCATAATGTGTAGGTATGTATGTTACTTATGCCGTTTCTTGAATACATAAAATTATTTGAAGTCGGCTGACGATGAGGTTTCAAGGTACTGTAGAGAAAGAGTTTGTACATAGAAAAATTTGTGTGTAAGGCTTGGAAAATATCATAAAGCTGTTGTACAAGTATATACCCCTCCAAATAATCACAAGGTCTTACAAAAAGCGAGGATGTAAATAATGAATTAATAACAGCGGCATAAACTTTTTAAATATCGTATGCTTTTATTTTTAGTCACTATCGTGTTCGAAGGCAACATGTATGAGCAGTGTTATGGCCCTGGGAACGGCCCCAGTTGAAGCAAGAAAGTCTGATGTAGTTATGGAACATGCTAAAGACTTTTTGGATCAATACTTTACATCAATAAAAAGGTAGGCGCTCAATATTTTAAATTTAAATTCTAAAACATATAATATTATGTTGAAAATTATTAAGAGTCCAAGAACATAAACAGTAAACTTAAGTATGAGTATTACTTTGCAGTCCAACATGTAGGGTAGGTAAATAGTTTATTGAGATTTAGCTGATTTGGGTAAAATTCTGCCCTTAGAATTATCATCCATGGTAGAGTTTAAAAATTAGTGAAATCGGAGTACAAACATTTTTACTTTTTATATAAGGCCTTTTTGTATGGAATAGCTAATTTGAAATCCTACCGTATTTTTGATTAAATTTAAATATTAAAATGATGTGTGGGCTCTTGAGCATACTATAGTTTTGTGCTAAAAATTAATAAAATCTTTTCACATTTTTTCATAGGCCTCTTAGTCACAATATATAGTTATCTCATTGAAATTTTATAGATATATTATACAAAATGTGAGTATAGGTTAATGACAAAAACATCTTTCAGACCTTAATTAAGTTGCCATGTATGTATGATATATTTCTATAAATATGGTGCTAAAATGGTGATACTGGTGGAATGGTGGAATCTTAGAGCTCAATTTTCACCGGTTTCCAGAAGTCTGATCAACCTGAAACTTTGTAGACGTGTCAGGGACCGATGACAATGCAATAGTTTGATAACAGTTTCCCTTTATTTTACTTCACTTATTTATTCCAAATCGCTAAAGCTAACTCAACCAAATTTGCTGAAAGGAAGTCCTTTTAGCCCTCTTTCATACGCTGTGAAAATGGGCAAAATCAGATAATAACCACGCCAACTCCCCATATTACATTAAATTTCACAAACAAGATGGTAGGGAAGAGCTTTATAGGAAGAAGTGTAAAAATTCCTTTAAATCGTGTATTTTTAGTATTTTTAAACTATTATTTATTAAATCCTTATTTTCATTTTACATTACAAAAATTAGAAAACATGAACAATATTGGAGATATATTTATAATGTGAGTTTTGGTTTGAAAAATAAGAAATAGAGAGAAAAATGGCGAAAACATAAGTAATATTTCAATTAATTAGCGTGTCTGTTATAATTTTCCAGTTGACAATTTCTTTTTAAGGCCATCAGAAATCTGCCATGATGTGGCGACCTCAACAACTTTGATATTTTTCTTCCATCACTTTTAGATCCTGGTGAAAACACTCTCTCTTTTATTTTATTTCACCGAAAATGTATCCAGATGATTGCGGAGATTATCTCACTTGATACTCATATTTTTTTTGGAATCTGAAAATTGTCAATGTGTTTTTCAATATTTTTTCATAATTTGATGCTTTATGGTAACTGTGAAATTTTTGAAAATCAACACAAAACTTTTCCAAGCTTCAATTTTCGGAACAGTCAAAACCTTGCTAAAATCTTTATTTTTCATTAATTGCCGTATTTAGGAACCAACAAATATTTCTCCGTTCAAAAACAAGTATGGAAGGGCTAATTTTATGCTCTTGAAACTTTCAAAGATCAATGTCGAGGTAATACCTTCAGGTGTTGGTAATATTAAAATATGTAGCGAAAGGGTTCAACTTCATTGTTCAACAAATTCGTGAATGGATTACAATAAAATTTGGTAAAAATATATTAAAATCATCCTCAAATGAAATATATGTGATATAAACTCAACCAACAAGGCTAATATTTTAATATATTGAGTTGATGAGAAAAACGTTAACAAACAAGAAAGGAACTTATTGCATTAGGGATACTGATATAATTCTATAATTTTTAATAAAACGTGTGCAGTCAATTTCATTAAAATCAGATGGAAAGTCGAAAATCAATATACAGGATATTATTGGGGCAAAAAAATGGAAGCGCTGACTACATAATTTTTGATATTGGTCAGATACAGTTATTTTCAACAAATTTTATAAATATATAAATATAAACATATACAGGGTGGCTTACGAAACGTGCTACAAAACAAAAAAACGTAATAACTTTTTTCCTGTGTTAGTAATCGACCTACTTTTTTTTTTATTTGCCAGGTTTTTATTTAATTTTTCTAAAAATGAACGGTGTAACAATAACTGTCAATGGGCACCGTTATTTAAAGATTTTGAATTAGTTTTTGTACCCAGAATTGCGCCGAAACCGTATCCCTTTAAATAGCGTTTGATTCCAGCAAGGTGGAGCCAGACTGCCTATCCGGAGCTCCAACGAAAATTTGAAAACAAATTAATATCAAGAAACTCCACTTTCTGCTGGCCTTTAAGGTCCCCTGACCTGATTGCACCAGAGTTTTTTATGGGGTTTTGTCAAGTGTATGCCAAGAGGTGTACCAAACAAAACCCAGAAATTTGACTGAACTAAAGTAATCCATTAAATCGATAATTGGGGTAATCCCAACTTCAACCCTTCAGGCCGCATTGAATAATTTTCTAATTATGTGTCGCATATGAGCATGGAGGTCATTTACGGTCCATAACTTTTATAACTAATTAATTATATAAAATAAAATAAAATTTTCTATACAATAAAAAAATATAAATGTAATGCTTGGATTAAAAAAAAAAGTTATTACGAATTGTTTTTGTAGAATGATTCGTAAGGACGTTTCAAAATCCTGAATATCAATTATATGGGGGATAGTCAAGTTTTCATCAGATTTTATCCATTTTTGGCACAAAGATGCTCTATCATTAAAAAAATACACTTTCTCAATTTCATTAAAATAACCCACATATTAAAATAACCGATATATGTGGTATAAAGTCACCTGGCAGTTCGAAGATATATTCATATTAGGAATATGAGGGTGAAGAGAAGTATTAAGCTTCAACCCATTTTTGACAAAAATTTATCAAAGAAACATTTTTTTCCGAATTTCATTAATATATCTCACATATTGACCTATATTTTCGGCAAAAAGTCAGCTATGCGTACTGGGGTCGACATATTCGGTATGTGGGGACTTGAACAGTTATGGTTCCATTTTGACAATGTGTAGACCCGAGATGGCATACCGAAATATTCATTAGAACTTGATTTGTGTACTAAAATGTGAAAGAACCAGATGGAATTTAAAATTGTGTTACATAGGACACACTGCAAAGTCATAGCAATACAACCCACCGGACATAGTTATGACATTTTGCGTCTTAGTTATGACATTTTTTGGGTTTTCGATTAATGGCGTTCTGTAGGCGTGACAGTAGTCTAATTACACCCATCCACGAACTCGTTTTCACCTTTTTGCTAGGAAACACGTATACCAAGTTTCATTAGGATGTCTCAATTTTTACTCCAGTTATAGCTTGAACAAACAGACGGACGGACGGTACGGTCATTTATATATACATACATAACTGTATATGTAACAGGATTATTTTTGGGTGATACAAACAACCATTAGGTATATCATACAAGGAGCAACATGTTGCAAGAGTATAATTCTTTTACCTCCAACGATTTAATAAATTGCTTTGCGATTCCTAACTTTATCTCGTATAAAAACGTTGAGTTCATTTTGAGAAAATAACTTTATCGTAGATGTTTCACCATCCCATTGACTCTCACTGGTAGATTGTACCGACTTCTATGCATTTTTCGACATCATTATTTCTGAGAGCATGCGAATTACTTTTGATACAAAAGCGGGCTTTTCTGTGAGGAAAACATTACAATTTGTAAGCTGTCACCCTTGTCCACATCTAATTTTTCACATATTATATTTTCGGTAAGAAGCCTGAGAATGGGGTTCACACGATGTTTGTATACGTGAAAATGGCCCCCAGAATCCTACTCATGACCATGAAACATAAACTTTATTGCTTACAAGCCGATAATTGATGACAATGTAAGATATGCAAAAATCTTAAAAACAAGAGCTCTTTAATACTGTCATGAATAAATTCATAAGCTGTGGAATTTTTTTTGTTTTTTGTAGAGCTTTGTGATTACTTTCCTCATTCTGTTCGCAACAACTAACGTAATGGACGGAGGTTTCTGTTAGTGAGGTCGATTTTAAGATAGTATGTCAATCGAATGTACAATCGGTATAATTTCTAATTCATATGAACATATGTATGCAATTTTTAAATAATTTTATGTATGATTTCATTTCATTAGCCATACAATTCTTCTCCATTTAACATTTTTAGAGCTTCAAGCGTCGCTCACGATACTCGATGGAAACAAGTACGTCACAATATCGAATCTAGTGGTTCTTATCAACTTACAGAAACCGAATTGATTTATGGTGCAAAATTGGCTTGGCGGAATTCATCACGCTGCATTGGACGCATACAATGGTCCAAATTACAGGTGACCCATTATATATTACGTTAAAGATAATAAATAAGTATCAATATACAAAATCATTAAACCTATAAATGTGTTTATGGTAGTGAAAATTAATTTTGATAGCAATTTATCTGATGTGTGACGAATACAATTATATATAATATATATAATTTGTAATAGAAATTGCTTGCATTCTAATATTTTATAATATATTAATACCAAACAAGTAAGGAAGGGCTTCGGATGTAACCGAACATTTTATACTCTCGCAAAGTTAAATGGTATACACGTTTCTTTATATTGTATATTTTAATAATTAGTAGTAGGAACTGTTGCCTCAGTTATTTACATTCACAGTGAAATTAATTAGAGCAATTTGTAAACTAAATTTACTCAAATTATGCGAAATCGTTCTTGTGTTTTTTGTATACGCTTATAATTGATTTTATATAGAATGCATTACAACTGTTTTTTGACTATGAACAACATTTTTTATTTATTATATCGATATTATTATACATGTTTAGCTTAAAAATACTAAATATTAACAACTTTAGAAATTATATTATTATATTAATTTGTATATAATATTTACAATATTAAAAATAAATTTTTATAGAGATTCTTATACATATATCCAAATTATTTTCTTTTCTCCTTATACTATTTAATTTTTATAATATATTTACACAATAATGTTTTATATAATAACAAATTATACATACAATAAAATTTTTCTTAATTAGATTATTTACAAGTTTTTGTAAACTGAATTAACTCAAAATTTTATTATATTAATTCGTTTATAATATTTACAATACTAAGCACACATTCTTATAGAGATTTTTGTACATATATCCAAATTATATTTCTTTTCTCCTTATACTATTTAATTTTTATAATATACTAGCTGACCCGGCAAACGTTGATCTGCCATATACGTTATTTTTTAAAAGTATTTGTGTGTTGGGGATGTAAATTTAATTGAAAAAGGAATGAAGAGCTGTAGACGATTAAAGTTTTTTTTATTTATGTTAATAAGTTTACTTTATTTAAAACAAAGATTAATTTCCCAACGAAATCGAGTAAACAATATTTTTGCTCAGTCCGTACTTAGCTAATAGAAACAAACTGGAGGGTTTGCCCACTCGAAAACATGTCACAAAGATTTGTCCGTGGGAAAAGCATATTGTATCCAAATCTTAGCCACAAACAGACAACGTTTGGACTTGTGACTTATTGATCATCATTGCGAATCTATATCTAAAGTTAAGTGCAAATATTTTGTGAGTTAATGAATGTGCAAAAAATTCGTCGGTAATTTTATGCATCCAGTATTTTAACGAATAGCAATTCCTCCATTGACAATATCTAACAGTTGTTATAAGAAGTTTCGGCAGATGAATCTTGAAGCATATGAACGCAAGTTTACTGACTTATGTACTTTTTCAATATTACGCCATAGTCGCGATGATTTTAAGCTAGCGTTGATTTATTTGCATACTTGAACGTGGAATAACGGGAAGCATCTGTCTGAAATCACCTGAAAGAAGTAAAGAGTTCCACCAAATAGTTTGTCGTTGTTTTTATATCTTTCAAAATTCTATCCAATGCCTCAAACGAAAGTTTGTGTGCCCTAGTGCATTCATCACAAGCGACCATTAGCGACTAAACAGGATGAGCTAAGATGGCGCCATCTATTTGATTCATGTAGCCGCACAGGTGCACGTTAATTAGAGACATCAATCTAAGATATAGGTTGAACAGGTGAGTGAACTCGCTTTGTCATTCATTTCACGATATGGTGCTGGAATTCCTAACCTGATTAATAAATTACCGCACATGAGGTAACACATACCTTCTATCAAGAGTAAAGCACGATTATGTATCTCCTCATTCATCTCAATATCGTGATTTCTGAAACTGACACGAATTTGATGAAAAAATTCTGACGTATTATCCTTGTATTTGTGCCACAGGTTACATGGGTTTGATGGAATAACATGTCGAAATTATGATAGCGAATAATGTGCGTATCTGACTTGGAGATGCAGAGATATGGCTTCAGCGATTGTCGTATCTCAATGACTATCGTTTTCTAATAAAACCAGACAGTATTAACTGGGTTATAAATACTTTTTCTATGGAGAGTAGAGTTCAGAATTAGCAAATATACTACATAGGTACCAATAGATAAAGTAAGTTATTCTTTAACTACATTCTATATAAGTACAAAATGTCGGATTAAATCCTCGTTTTCGATAATATCTGCCTCAAATGACGTCGTCTGGAAACAACCATTGTATTTTTGAGTATTTGCAAGCAAGTGGCGTGATTCTTGTGTTTCGCCACAAAGCAATGAATACAATGGCTCGTATTGAAACGCTGCTCGATTCAAATCAGCACTTGATAAATATCTTGTTCTGCCTCGCAAATTATCTATTTGTTGACCTCTGTTGTTCGCTCGACGATTCTGCATTGCCAACCGAGCTGTTTCGCGGGCTGCTTCACTTTGTTCTCGTGATTGAGAAGCACGAAGTCGAACCATACTATGGCGGCGCTGTTCACGTGCAATTTCTTGTTCTTCTTCAGTCCTTCCATTTGCAGTATTTTGTATTCTTCTTGGATCACGGCTTTGTTGGGAAAGATTCGATCGTCTTGGTCGCGGCATTATTAATTAAACTTCACTTCACTCAAACTCAAACTCAAATTTTCAACCATACCGAGTTTTATAGTACACTTCACATTTTATACGAATGGGAAATGGCACTATCATTATAATTGTTAATTATTTATTTAATAGAAATAATTTTATTATTGATTTCTTACAAATATCAAATTGTCATCCATACGTCATTACATAACTGTCATTTGCGTTTTGTTATTCCAAGTCTGATTCTTGTTTGTTATACCACGTTTTATAGTGACTGACGTTTCATGTCAAGTCACACGGGAATGCTGTCGATCGGGATAAAAAGTATTCTATGTCCTTCTCCTGGCTCTAAGCTACCTCCCTGCCAATTTTCAGCTAAATCGGTTCAGCCGTTCTTGAGTTATAAGTGGAGTAACTAACACGACTTTCTTTTATATATAATATATAGATTTATACAATAATGCCTTATATTATATAATAACAAATCTATATATATAAAAATGAAACCCGTTTTCTGTTGTCACGCCATAACTTGAGAACGACTAAACCGATTCGGCTGTTTTTTTGGTGTATTTTTCTAATACTCTGTAGAAGGTTTTTACGGAATTTAATTTTGCATATTTTATAAAAACGGGTGTAACGAATGTCATCATCATTCACAGCCATAGACTATATTGAAAGAGCATCGTTTGTTCAGAAATGTGGTTACTTAATTAAATTCTATCACACTAATTTTTGAAAATTACTCGCCACAATTACATGTACCGACTTTGACGGTAATATTAATAATACCAGTGATGATTTCATTTTAATGTAAGTATTTAATAATAATAAAATATGTATAATATGAGTTAGATTTCAGAATAGAAGTTAGATTTCATATACTAACTGCAACCAAATACGAAATGTCCCCAACTTCCAGCCAATTTCAGCTCTATTGTACACGGACAAAATTAATTAATTGCCCGTTTTTTCCCAGTCGCACAAAATAATTATTTAAATCATAACTGGCTCGGTAACTGAGCTATATAGACAGAGAAATATGCTGAAATTAGTTTTAATAATAACATTCTACTAAATTACACTGCTTACTCAACATAATTTAATTATACTTTAGCCACAGCAAGGCGTGGCCGGGGTCTTCTAGTCATACATATAATTTAAATTTTCCTAATTAGATTATTTACATGTATTTCTTAAAATTTTCTCAAAAACTACTGTCAAAATTGGTATTCCATTCTAAAATTATATTTAAAAAAAATTCAGAACTATTACACTAAGTCCGAAAACTTTAGTTCGAAATAGAGACAAAAGTCATGATAGCTGTGTACTGTCTCAAAAGTAATTGCATTAACATGGGAAGGATCCATGTTTGAAAATGCCCAATCAATTTGTGTGCCGTCAGGTGTAGTTGAATATTATACACCAAGCAAGGAACTAAAATTTTTTTGTAGAGCAGATTTCCTATTGTAGTCCCTGTAGACACTAAACAATTATTGAAATCTCCAACAAGTAGCACATTTTTATTGCATAACACAGAAGTAAGGACTTCCTGAAGTTCTACAATTAAATGCCTGACAGAGAAAGCTGAATTTCTGTATAAAACCAGAATATTAATATTGAAACATTCAAATAAAACCGCTTCTAAAACTTTGCGGCCTGAATGCATTTTCTTTACAGAGTATTGCTAGCTCTGCATATATTATAATGCCTCGTTTATTTCTATTGCTTATTTCCGTGCTATCTATCCTCAGCTCGATAATTGGAGTAAATCCTGGTATATCAAAACTTTCCCAAGGATAACTCCAAGTTCACACAGTCTTTTTTTATATCATTAATGTGAACGTGAAGACCCTTAACATTATGAAATAAAATTTGATATCCTGATGTTCGGGAAATCATAAAATTGAAAGTTGTTGTGAGAGCTTTAATTGTGTTCAATTCCCTCAGTTCCCTAAATACAGGATCCGATTCAGAAAATTTGTTAGGAGGAGTAAAATTTCCTATACTGAATATAACTTCTGCAGAAGTAGCTCGTCTACAAGCGAAATATGTATATTAAAGATCTAGGCATTCTGGGTCGAGTATGAACTACAACTTTATTATACCTATGTACCCTGACTTATATAAATAGTTATTCGCTCAGCCGGGACAACCGGAAACTGATTTCTTTCAATTAAAATTTGTTAATTTCTTTTATATTGAAAAGATTTTATAAACACACAAATGTTGTAAAAGAACCATGGAAATCAATTTGCATAAGTTGTCCAGCTACTCCATTAACCAAGCCATCACACGTGTTTATATTCACTGTAATCATATATTTGTCGGAGGTTTTTAGTGTCAATTCATAGGGCAGTCTCTGCGT